AGCCTATTGAATACAAGCTTGCTTCAGAATTGGCATGTCCTCTTTATGATTTATCAGGGAGTAACAAAGTGACTAGTTTTTCCATATTTTAGAGGTGAATCCTTAATCCAGATCTCAGACTCTGAAATCTAAAGATATAGCATCTTGACAATCCTCAATGTACCTTCCCAAAGATCTGCTAGATTTTGCTGCAAAGCTTAAGACTTGCTATAGGGGGCGAAAAAAAAACGAAACGAAAACCAAGACACATGCTATGAAGCGAAGGAGATTTTCTGCTTGGGCTTCTGACAAGGGTATTTCCTATATCTGCTACAATCCCTAACATACTGAACTACTACTTAGCTCTTACGAGATCCGGGTCTGCTTTCAGTTCAGTTAAAGTTCATCTGGCAGCTACATAACCTGTTCTTCTGGTGAGCATTCTTGGTCTTTGTATCCACAAGGGAAAAAAAGTTTGTTATCATGGGGCTTTTTTAATTACAAAAAAAACTGAAACAAAAGGGACATGGAGAAGGTACTATGAAATTTCCCACTAAATCTACACTCTGGAGAAATTTAAATCTTTCATTCATAACACTCAAAGTTAAATTCTGAATGCTTCATTACCTATTTCTTAGAAGACTGTGGTCTTAAAGCAGTTAACAAGGAAATGCAATGGACCTTCTTGCATACAGCATTTCAGGATGAGTAGGTACTGCTCCAACATCTTCAACCCCTATTCAAAGTAATTCTGACCCAGTGGTTGGAGGGTAGTGTTTGCCATCTTGTCCGTCTTTCTGCAAAGACTATCCAAGCCCTATAATCTAAGGGTAATTACTACCTTACACAATTATCCACTCCCTAGATTTTCACTGTTTATAGCTGTAAGAACACCAAGGACAAGCTTAGTTTTCAGAGACTGTCCAGAAAGCATAGTGCTTAAATTCCCTACTCAATGACTGGGAAGTTCCTTCGCTTGCAGAGAGAGGAAGCAGGATCACTGGAACACGTCTGAAAACGAACACGTTTACAAGTAGGGGTCACTTATCTGACACTCATCAGTCTTGACCCTACCCAGAGGAAAGGGATCATTAGAGATAAACAGTTGTTTAGCATCATTGCACACCAACCTCCTGCACTCATCTGGCTGTTGAATTTCACTTATCTTACACTGCAACTTTTTAAGCAGGTAACCTCCTCCAAGTACTACATGATATGAATTGCTCAGGATGCAAATTACTACTGTGTATTTTGAGTAGACAAGAGTAAGAATTAGCCTATGGAGTGCAACTGAAACTAAGACAATAAACTTGGGAAATAAGGGAGGAAGAGCG